GGGGTGGGAGGGGGAGGGAGGGGGAGGGCTCTAAAAACAGTTCATTGTTTCAAATCTACATAATCCCAGTGATGGAGGCAAGCAACTTCCATGTACTAGATTGTGTTAGTTGAGATTTTCAGGTGACATGATTGACTGAAAGGTACCCGTGGGTCCACAACCACCAATGTAAGTAAAAATGGCAGGAGGATGGAAGACTAGAGTCAGGAAGGCTGCATTTGAGAGTGGCTGAGACTGGTGAAAATGCTGAGCAAAACACAGTGGTTGTTTTAAACATTTGAAGCTAGAACAAGGTTGAGGGAGCTATACCCACTGCTGGGCAGATGGTCTGAGGGAGCAGAAGATGGGGAAAACAGAATGACTCCACTCCCAGGGACTTCTGCCTTCTCTGTTGAGAGGAATGCATTTCATCTAAAGAAGACTGGGACTGAAATGGATCAGAAGGGTCTGGAGCCTGGAGTCTGGGAGGGAGAGTGGACATGTGCCTAGCTGGACTCGGTGGATTCCCATCAGAGGTACTCATGGCTCCTGCCCTGAAGATAGGAGGGAGTACAAGTGGGGCTGCAGAGCCACTGCCTGTGATCTCTGATCACAGCACAGCAGAGAAACACCAAGAGGCTAGAGCTGCAAGATTGCTTTGTTGGTATTTTTACAGCAAGAAAGCACAGACCAACGGGCTTGGCATCCATCACTTCTGCCATCAGATTGCTGGCAGAATTCAAAAGCAGATTATTAAGCGGACAGCTTGTGAACGCTTGGAAAATAAGCTGTGTTTGGTTTGTTATGCACACATCTTGCCAACTTAACCTTATTTCTTGTTTTGAGAGTGAGGTTAACCGGCTGGCAGATCAGGGGATGGCTAGAGGCCCATCGTCAAGACTTTGCAGGATGCCTTCTTGCCCCAGTTCTTCGTGTCCTTGACAAGCTAGAGGAAGTGGTATGGATGGAGGAGTGGTTAGGAGGGGCCGAGTGACCATCTCAAGCCTTCTGGCACCTTTTCAAGATAACCAGCAGTGCTCCTATGCCAGCAAAGGGAGTACACAACTCTGTTAGGAGGGCTTCCTTTAGTGAAGGAGTAAATATCAATGAAATAAAGAAGGGATCTAACGCTAAGTCTCCAGTGTATTCCAGAATTTTCCAGCAACTTGTATAAAGCCAGAGGGAGGCAGCATGACCTAATAATTGAGAGAAGGGCTGGAATCAGATCCGGGTTTATACCCTGGGCCAGTATGGCTCACTAACTAGTTAAATGACCCTGGGCAGTATTTGACCTGAGCCTGTGCCACCTATGGGATGGGCTTCATATCCCCAGAACCGTGAGAATAATTCAGAAAAAAAGTTTAGTTTTGTGCCTGAGTAATTGTTAACTGTCTACAGTGTGATGGACTTGTTTTTCTGTTCACAGTCTACCCTGTGCCCTTCACTCACCAATCTGAAATGAACCCTTTTAGAAAAGCTGCCAGCCACACACTGGCCATTCTATTCTTATCCTCTCTGGTCAGAGCAAGTTCAAAATAAGGCATCTTCCCTAAGCTGGGCCAGTGAGTTTCCACCCAGACTTATTTCTGGGCACTTTATTGAGATGCAGTTAACACACTATAAAATTCAACTATCTAAGCTGTAGATTTCATCAGCTTCTAGTGCAGTTGCCCAGTTGTGCATCTACTACCCACAGTAATTGTTTCTACCAGGAAGCAAATCCAAGGTTACACAGCTTAAGGAAGTGCACTACACCCATGCTACATCTGAAGTCCCTAACTCGAGAATGTTTTCATTCCTTTCTTTCTTCCTCCTTCTCTCCCTCTTTTATCCTCTTTTGCTTTAAAGCTCTCTCTCTCTCTCTTTCTGGTGTGTGTGTGTGTGTGTGTGTGTGTGTGTTCTTTTGCTTTAAAGCGCTCTCTCTCTCTCTCTCTCTCTCTCTCTCTCTCTCCTTCTGGTGTGTGTGTGTGTGTGTGTGTGTGTGTGTGTGTGTGTGTCTTGGAGAATGAACCCAAGGCCTCCTGCATGCTACACAATCCTACCACTGAGCTATATCCCACCCATGGGACTTTATCTTGTAACCACCAAAACCACATGTTGATTAGCAGTCTCAGACTATGTACATCCCACTGGTGCTGTCTCGGGATCTTTCCCTGCTTGGATGTTTCACCCATGAAACACAGAACTCATGGTCTTTGTGTCTGACT